AGAGAGAGAGAGAGAAGAAAGTCGATAACTTGCTGAACTATCCGGATCAACGACCCTTTCGTCGCGTTTAACGTAGTAGGAACAGGGCCCGCGCATCTATATCAATTCTAGCAGGAAGTTGATAGCGAGGTTGTTCGTCATCGTCCAACAAACCTGACATCTTCGTCTACTAGCTCGCTCACCTCTTTCCGCCCGCCTCTTTGCTCACGTTTCTCTCTTTCCCGACGCTACTCTTCATACGATTCGGAAGAGCATTGACAATGAAAGAGCTGTCGATGATCTGTTTATTCGCGGTAGACGCCAGTGGCTCTCAATCCACCATGCTCCACTTGGCCCAGTGCAGCCAAGAACGTGTATCGATTGACACGTATATATATGTGTATGTATATCGCGTCTATACAGGAAAACGAGGGTTTTTCCCGGTGGAAATTTTAATTTCAAAAAATAATTGTAAAATAATAACCTGGATGAAATTTTTTTTTGTTTAGAAAGTTTTTTAAAAAAATCTTACTTACTTACTATCTTATTAAACATCGAGGTTTCTTCGTTTTCCAAATTGTCGGAATTCGTTTGTCTTGAGAAAATCAATCGGTAAAACTCGAGATTTTTCGAGACGTTTCGAAACGTTATAGATAGAATTATAGATGTCAACCGAGCAGTTCTTAAAACAATGCAATGTGCGAGCTTAAAAACATCAGTCAGTGCCGCTACTCGATGGTCCAATTAAACGTAACATGTTAGCTCGAACTATATACTTGAGCAAACATTTAGTTAATCTTAACGAGTGTCCTTACCACGGGTCAGATGGTGAGGCAACGGGTTAAAAGTTTTGTTCTCTCGTGAATCATCGATGATTCATTTGCTACTATTGTAATGGTAATTTTTTTAAAAATGAAAATATTAAAAATCCCTTTTCGCGGGAGATAGAACGTGAAAACTGTAATCGCAATCGTGAAATCACGTTGTGAAGAAATCCGTTTCATTTTCGACGATCGTTTATAGAATGAACGATAATGAGAGGAATTCGAGGAAAATATTAAAGAGATTCTTCTAATACGCTCTCGAATCATGAGACTCGCATTTATCCACGGAGCCACGTATTCGATCATTGTTTTCGCTTTATGGATGGATTAAAATTTCAAATCAGGATATTACGTAGCTCAATTAATTCGTTTCGAAACACGTTCTCTTTCAAACGATCTAATTATCGGACCGTCCAATTAGCTTCGCGATATAATGAATATTAATAATAACGATACGAATTATATTATTACGAAAATTGGCGTTCGGGAGTATATCGAAACGGATCGTAATTAATCAAATCGTGTAACCAATCATTAGAAGTTCAAGAGGATGTTTTATTCGCTTCTTTCGTTCGTTCTTTAAATTCGATTGTGCTCGTTTCAATCGAATTTAAAGACGAAGCGAGCACAATCGAATTCAAATCAAAAGGATTCATCAGGAAATATTCGTGGAAGATAAAGAAGATAAATTTCATTATCAAACTCGTAATTTTGTTGAGAACAATTTCGAGGAAAGATAAGGATGGGATCGTAAATCGATAATCTTTTGCGTGCAGAGAGAGATTTGCAAATCACGCCGAGAGGTTCGAGAAAAGATCGAGAAACGAGCCGATTTTCCGCTTCGCAGTCCGTGACGAGTATTTCTCTCCCTCCCCCCTCGCCTGTTTTATCGTTCACGATCGCGAATTATCATCCGATAATCGGATTATCGTTGACGAGGGCCGGGACATGTGGATACACAAAAGCAGCTTCTTGCGTACCGGTTTCGATGAGGGACAAACGGATCAGATGTTTTATTGCCCTCTCCGCTTCTATTACTTCCGTGCCACGAACAATTGCGTCTTATTAGCAGTTATTGTTTTATGAGGCGAGCAAAGTGTCGTTTCGCCTCGCTTCTTTTTCTTTCGCGCCTTCTATCCGTTACCTCGAATCTCTCTTTGTACGTTGGCAAGGTGTTTGTATCTCTCTCTCTCTCTCTGTGTGTGTTGCGACGACCGATCACACCGATCGGGAACATCTCGACGTGTTTTACGCGCGTTTCTCGTCCAACCGACAATGTCATTCGAATCCTTCGAATACGATATCGCATTATATCGCACGTCTCGATGATTTTTAAATCAGCTTATCAAGTTTTTCTGTTTTCTCTATTAGCGTTCGTTCGTGAGGAAGGTTTATTTTATATTATCGAGACAATATTGTTTCTCCCCCGTTGTTAGAAATTGACACAATCTGGTATTGAAGAAACGGAATAGATAAATCCTTGTTCTTGAAATCGGTCGACTTTTAACTTCTCGCTTCGATCCAACTCGATTTCATTACCGATTTTGTTTTCCTCAACGAGGGATCGTTATTGAATTACTCGAACGATCGTTCTCAGTGGTTATCGATCTCGTTCGCAAAAGCCGAAATCGATCCTCGCACGTCGAAAAATGTGCAACGCGAGTTTGGAGACTAACGAGGAGGAGGGGATATACGAACGTATTCCTTCGATCAAAGCGGATCACTCGCGGTTGGAGAGACGGAGTGAATCGGCGGTGATTAAACACGTATGCGGATCAGGAATTGGAGGATATCTCGTTCGAGCCAATGAATGGTGGCTAATTTTTGGAAATAGAATAAATAATTCGTTGAGAAAGGGAAACGTTTTCAAAGGGAATGTAGATGTGAGGATGAATTTGCATCGTATTTTTCTTCCTTTTTTTTTTTTTTTTTTTTAGTCGATTAATATTAAGAGAAATATACGTGGAATTTCAAGATGGATCGACTATTCGTGATCGGTTCTTTTATGTTGGAACGGTACATGAAGTATTACCATAGAGTTTCTTTCAAAGACGTCTTTAAAGAATTGCGGTTCTATAAAAATTTTCATATTTTGCCAAGCGATACTATTTTATTGGATTCCTAGCGAGAAAACCCTAAAAGGTTTAGTAAAGCCAATATTCCTAGGAATTTCGATAATAATAGAGAAGAAAAAAAAATGGTACATAGAATGGTGTCAAAGAGGGAATTTCAAAAAATTAAAAGAGCGG